AATTAAAAATTAATAATGAAATAAATGAGATCAAAAACACTCTGGAGGGAACCATGAGTAGAATAACAGAGACAGAAGATAGGATGAGTGAGTTAGAAGATAAAATGGTGGAAATAAATGAAGCAGAGAAGAAAAAAGAATCAAAAGAAATGAGGACAACCTCAGGGACCTCTGGGACAATGTGAAACGTCCCAACATTCGAATCATAGGAGTCCCAGAAGAAGAAGACAAAAAGAAAGGCCATGAGAAGATACTCGAGGAGATAACAGCTGAAAACTTCCCTAAAATGGGGAAGGAAATAGCCACCCAAGTCCAAGAAACCCAGAGAGTCCCAAACAGGATAAACCCAAGGCGAAACACCCCAAGACACATATTAATCAAATTAACAAAGATCAAACACAAAGAACAAATATTAAAAGCAGCAAGGGAGAAACAACAAATAACACACAAAGGGATTCCCATAAGGATAACAGCTGATCTATCAATAGAAACCCTTCAGGCCAGAAGGGAATGGCAGGACATACTTAGAGTAATGAAAGAGAATAACCTACAACCTAGATTACTCTACCCAGCAAGGATCTCATTCAGGTATGAAGGAGAACTCAAAAGCTTTACAGACAAGCAAAAGCTGAGAGAATTCAGCACCACCAAACCAGCTCTTCAACAAATATTAAAGGATCTTCTCTAGACAGGAAACACAGAAAGGTGGTATAAACGTGAACCCCAAACAACAAAATAAATGGCAACGGGACCATACCTATCAATAATTACCTTAAATGTAAATGGGTTGAATGCCCCAACCAAAAGACAAAGGCTGGCTGAATGGATACAAAAGCAAGACCCCTATATATGCTGTCTACAAGAGACCCACCTCAAAACAAGGGACACATACAGACTAAAAGTGAAGGGCTGGAAAAAAATATTCCACGCAAACGGAGACCAAAAGAAAGCAGGAGTCGCAATACTCATATCAGATAAAATAGACTTTCAAATAAAGACTGTGAAAAGAGACAAAGATGGACACTACATAATGATCAAAGGATCAATCGAAGAAGAAGATATAACAATTATAAATATATATGCACCCAACATAGGAGCACCACAATATGTAAGGCAAACGCTAACGAGTATGAAACAGGAAATTAATAGTAACACAATAATAGTAGGAGACTTTAATACCCCACTCACAACTATGGATAGATCAACTAAACAGAAAATGAACAAGGAAGCACAAACTTTAAAGGACACAATGGACCAGCTAGACCTAATTGACATCTATAGGACGTTTCACCCCAAAACAATCAACTTCACCTTTTTCTCAAGTGCACACGGAACCTTCTCCAGAATAGATCACATCCTGGGCCATAAATCTAGTCTTGGTAAATTCAAAAAGATTGAAATCATTCCAGTCATCTTTTCTGACCACAGTGCAGTAAGATTAGATCTTAATTACAGGGAAAAAATTATTAAAAATTCAAACATATGGAGGCTAAACAACACGCTTCTGAATAACCAACAAATCATAGAAGAAATCAAAAAAGAAATCAAAATATGCATAGAAATGAATGAAAATGAAAACACAACAACCCAAAACCTATGGGACACTGTAAAGGCAGTGCTAAGGGGAAGATTCATAGCATTACAGGCCTACCTCAAGAAACAAGAAAAAAGTCAAATAAATAACCTTACTCTACACCTAAAGCAACTAGAGGAGGAAGAAATGAAGAACCCCAGGGTTAGTAGAAGGAAAGAAATCTTAAAAATCAGGGCAGAAATAAATGCAAAAGAAACTAAAGAGATCATAGCAAAAATTAACAAAGCTAAAAGCTGGTTTTTTGAAAAAATAAACAAAATTGACAAACCATTAGCAAGACTCATTAAGAAACAAAGGGAGAAGAACCAAATTAACAAAATTAGAAACGAAAATGGAGAGATCACAACAGACAACACTGAAATACAAAGGATCATAAGAGACTTCTACCAGCAGCTCTATGCCAATAAAATGGACAACTTGGAAGAAATGGACAAGTTCTTAGAGAAGTATAACTTTCCAAAACTGAACCAGGAAGAAATAGAAGATCTTAACAAACCCATCACAAGCAAGGAAATCGAAACTGTAATCAGAAATCTTCCAGCAAACAAAAGCCCAGGACCAGATGGCTTCACAGCTGAATTCTACCAAAAATTTAGAGAAGAGCTAACACCTATCTTACTCAAACTCTTCCAGAAAATTGCAGAAGAAGGTAAACTTCCAAACTCATTCTATGAGGCCACCATCACCCTAATTCCAAAACCAGACAAAGATGCCACAAAAAAAGAAAACTACAGGCCAATATCACTGATGAACATAGATGCAAAAATCCTTAACAAAATTCTAGCAAACAGAATCCAACAACATATTAAAAAAATCATACATCATGACCAAGTGGGCTTTATCCCAGGAATGCAAGGATTCTTTAATATCCGCAAATCAATCAATGTAATACACCACATTAACAAATTGAAAGATAAAAACCATATGATTATCTCAATAGATGCAGAAAAAGCCTTTGATAAAATTCAACATCCATTTATGATTAAAACTCTCCAGAAAGCAGGAATAGAAGGAACATACCTCAACATAATAAAAGCTATATATGACAAACCCACAGCAAGCATCACCCTCAATGGTGAAAAACTGAAAGCATTTCCCCTGAAATCAGGAACAAGACAAGGGTGCCCACTCTCACCACTACTATTCAACATAGTTTTGGAAGTGTTGGCCACAGCAATCAGAGCAGAAAAAGAAGTAAAAGGAATCCAGATAGGAAAAGAAGAAGTGAAACTCTCGCTGTTTGCAGATGACATGATCCTCTACATAGAAAATCCTAAAGACTCTACCAGAAAATTACTAGAGCTAATCAACGAATACAGTAAAGTTGCAGGATATAAAATTAACACACAGAAATCTCTTGCATTCCTATACACTAACAATGAGAAAACAGAAAGAGAAATTAAGGAAACAATACCATTCACCATTGCAACAAAAAGAATAAAATACTTAGGAGTATATCTACCTAAAGAAACAAAAGACCTATACATAGAAAACTATAAAACACTGATGAAAGAAATCAAAGAGGACACAAACAGATGGAGAAATATACCGTGTTCATGGATTGGAAGAATCAATATTGTCAAAATGGCTATACTACCCAAAGCAATCTACAGATTCAATGCAATCCCTATCAAACTACCAACGGTATTTTTCACAGAACTAGAACGAATAATTTCACAATTTGTATGGAAATACAAAAAACCTCGAATAGCCAAAGTAATCCTGAGAAAGAAGAATGGAACTGGAGGAATCAATCTGCCTGACTTCAGACTATACTACAAAGCCACAGTCATCAAGACAGTATGGTACTGGCACAAAGACAGAAATATAGATCAATGGAACAGAATAGAAAGCCCAGAGATAAATCCACGAACCTATGGTCACCTTATCTTTGACAAAGGAGGCAAGGATATACAATGGAAAAAAGACAACCTCTTTTAACAAGTGGTGCTGGGAAAACTGGTCAACCACCTGTAAAAGAATGAAACTAGAACACTTTCTAACACCATACACAAAAATAAACTCAAAATGGATTAAAGATCTAAATGTAAGACCAGAAACTATAAAACTCCTAGAGGAGAACATAGGCAAAACACTCTCCGACATAAATCACAGCAGGATCCTCTATGACCCACATCCCAGAATTTTAGAAATAAAAGCAAAAATAAACAAATGGGACCTAATGAAACTTAAAAGCTTTTGCACAACAAAGGAAACTATAAGCAAGGTGAAAAGACAGCCCTCAGATTGGGAGAAAATAATAGCAAATGAAGCAACAGACAAAGGATTAATCTCAAAAATATACAAGCAACTCCTCCAGCTCAACTCCAGAAAAATACATGACCCAATCAAAAAATGGGCCAAAGATCTGAACAGACATTTCTCCAAGGAAGACATACAGATGGCTAACAAACACATGAAAAGATGCTCAACATCACTCATTATCAGAGAAATGCAAATCAAAACCACAATGAGGTACCATTACACACCAGTCAGGATGGCTGCTATCCAAAAGTCTACAAGCAATAAATGCTGGAGAGGGTGTGGAGAAAAGGGAACCCTCTTACACTGTTGGTGGGAATGCAAATTAGTACAGCCACTATGGAAAACAGTGTGGAGATTTCTTAAAAAGCTGGAAATAGAACTGCCATATGACCCAGCAATCCCACTTCTGGGCATACACACCGAGGAAACCAGATCTGAAAGAGACACGTGCACCCCAATGTTCATCGCGGCACTGTTTATAATAGCCAGGACATGGAAGCAACCTAGATGCCCATCAGCAGACGAATGGATGAGGAAGCTGTGGTACATATACACCATGGAATATTACTCAGCCATTAAAAAGAATTCATTTGAATCAGTTCTAATGAGATGGATGAAACTGGAGCCCATTATACAGAGCGAAGTAAGCCAGAAAGATAAAGACCATTACAGTATACTAACACATATATATGGAATTTAGAAAGATGGTAACGATAACCCTATGTGCAAAACAGAAAAAGAGACTCCTATGTATAGAACAGACTTGTGGACTCTGGGAGAAGGCGAGGGTGGGATGTTTCAAGAGAACAGCATCGAAACACGTATATTATCTAGGGTGAAACAGATCACCAGCCCAGGTTGGGTGCATGAGACAAGTGCTCGGGCCTGATGCACTGGGAAGACCCAGAGGGATTGGGTGGAGAGGGAGGTGGGAGGGGGGACCGGGATGGGGAATACATGTAAAAAAAAAAAAAAAAAGGATACACTATGGTTGTGAAACAAGAAAATAAACAAATAAAATGTAAAAAAAAAAAAAAAAAGAAAACAGAGCTTACTAAGTCTACGGAATACTGAGTCTCCCACAAAATGTTATTTTGCATTTTCAATTACGAGCATATTAAAATATATAACGATAACTTACATCTTTCATGGAATGTGTTCTTCCTGCATGGTTCTTCGAAAATCTCGCACTAGGAAACAGCAAACACACACATGAGTTAGGAAATACTTAAAAATAACTGGGGAAACACTGGAACTGGCAATGCAGTCCAAGTATTTTCTTTCCAAGTTACTCTCCTTGTTAGCTGCACTAACAATGTGCAGGTGATGAAATTCAGCTAATGGCAAATCTCTTAGAAAGCAGAACCCATATTTCACACACATAAATAATTTATAGGCCAAATCATACTACCCACATATAATTAGCATAGGTCTGCCCTCAGGACACAGAGAACTCCTAAGCCTGCAGTCACCCGTGTCTCTGAAGTTCCATCAACAGCCAAGCCTGGCATCCTGCAGAAATGTGCTAGAGAGGTGCCTCTTCCTTAAGACCTGGACCCTGCTGCATCCCGTGCCTGGCTCTCTCACACACGTGTTCTCATTTAGCTCCTTAACAGTCCTCCAGGTAGAAGTGAATCCCTCCACCCAGAAGCATATTTGCCCAAAGCCGCAGGTGGCTGGGAAGGAGGGAAGCCTGTGATAAAATCTGCTATCAGTCCACACCCAGAGCTGCCCTCTTCCCTCCCCTTCAAGATCCCTCCAGAGGGCATCAGGATGAAAGGATAAAGTTGCATCTTTAATCAGCTTACGTAAACCAGATGTCACAACAGAGACCTGAACAAAAAGTGAAAATAAGAGACACAGCAAACACTCCTGCCACTGACTGTGTACTCCAGCGTGGTGCCGAACAGGACACCCTGCACAGACCCCCACTTTCAAATGCACCCTGCACACACCCGTTAGCAGAGGGCAAAGTCCATTTAGCGTCTGAACGAGTAATTTTTTACCTATCTCTTTATGTGATATAACTTCAAACTTCAGAGAAAAATTGTGAGAAGAGTCTGAGAACCTTCTGTACACCCTTTACCCCACTTCACCAATTGTTCACATTTTGTCTCACTGGCTTCCTGTGTGTCTGTGGATGGTAATCTGGGGATACACGTGTGTCTTTTCTAAGAGGGCATTATTCTGTGTAGTCACAACACAATTTCCAAAGCAAGAAATTTAACACTGACATAATTGTCTAATTTACAGTCCCTATCCAAATGTTACCAATTGCCCTGTCATGTCCTTTAAGGTTTCCCCCAGCATTTTTCTCCCCCCCAAGCATTTTTTTAAATTTCTTTTGCTGTTGTTTCCTTAAAAAATTTTTTTCTTGTTCTAGCATTTTTTAAAAGGAAATACAAGAGGATGTAATATTAAGATTTCTTAAAACTTGTGTTGCATCATATGTACACATTTGTGTACCCATTGTGATGTAAAACATTATTACTGTGAATTACAGTGAAAAGATAAAGTTGGAAAACTGGAGAGGGTTCCCAAACATCAGGAATCAGAATCACCTGGAAGGCTATTAAGACTGCTTGGCTCCAACTCCAGAGTGGCTGATTCGATAAACCTGGGATGGCCCCTGAGAGAACCTGCATTGCTAACAAGCTCCCAGGGCTGCTGATGCTGGTCAAGACACCACAATTTGAAAAACCAATCCTTTATTTGATTCTCAGACCCAAAAAAGATGATGGAGCAGATATTCGTTTTATAGCCTCTATGATTCTGGGGTTCAGAAAAGTTAACTGACATCACTGGTCACACAGCCAAGTAACAGGACTAGAAGCCAGATCATACAAGGTCTTAACCCACTCTTTCCTGCCTTGTCTGTGCTCAACAATGGTTTCCTCCTCACCTTAGGCTAGGAGGGAGGTGAGGCTACCAAAAGATAGAAACCTCTGTGATAAGACATGGAAAAGATTTTGGTGTAGGCATACTGGTGCGTTTCAGGCGGAGGGATGGACATATTTCCTGAGTCTCAATCAAAGGCAAAAATGCTATATGTGTGTGTACCGCAGGTGGGGGGGGGGCAGGGGAGGGAGAGAGAAACCCCCTAATGGAGTAGCTGATAAAGTTCACCTCTCATAGATCAGTTGGTCAAGAATCTGCCTGCAATGCAGGAGATCTGGGTTCGATTCCTGGGTTGGGAAGATCCCCTGGAGAAGGAAATATCAACCCACTCCAGTATTCTTGTCTGTAGAATCCCATGGACAGAGGAGGCTACAGTCCATGGAGTTTCAAGAGTCAGACATGACTTAGCGACCAAACCACCAACACCACATGTCAGCTGAGTTTCAAGCATCTTATTCTTTCCCAATCCTCCTCTCTACTAGGGGAGTCTGGTCCTACCCGCTGGCCACAGGAGCCTAGTCTGTTTACCCCACCACCCTGCTTTGTCCTGCTCCAGCGTGTCCCCTGCACTGTTTGGCTCTCCTGCACCCTCACGCTGCATCTTACAAACTACACCTTCTCCAGCAGCCCTCCCACCGCCCAGGTGGGACTCCTCCGGCCTTAAGAACCAGCCAAGGCCCCAAGCCAGGCCCAGGCAGGGCCTTGGATGTGCTTCAAACACCTCCAGAGACACTTTCCAATGAATCCGAGAAAAATAACGTTTTAGAGAGCAGATAGGCAACGTATTTTAACCTGCATGTCTTTTCAGCTTTAAAAAAAAAAAAAGTCTGAACTATCCTGGCTGGAGTCCACCCCTTTAAAAATAACAAGCGGTAGCTTGGGTTCCCCCCGCCGACTTATTTCAGTTTTACAGTGTGTGGTTTGTGTTACAAAAACAAGCAGGGTCTCGAAAATAAGAATACTGACTCCAGTTCGAGTGTCAATGCTAGTATTCTTGCTAGAAGGTGAATTCTGCCAAGTAGTAGGTACTCCTTAAGTTACTATTCGTGGGACAGTTTGTTTCAGAACACCTGGCGTCTACTTTAGAGCACGTTTACCCGCACAAAGTAAGGGGACGCTAGCCGACGCCTCTCCCCGCAGCCAGACACGGATGTAAGCGGACGCCTTTTCAACCTCCCCGCAATCCTGTCACGGTGGGGACATTTATTATCCCCTCTTTACAGAAAGGCCCCGGGCGGCCAGTCGCTCGGACACGGTGCGCAGAGGCAGAGCCACGAAACGAGCAGCTCCGAGAGGCCCAAGCCCAGAGGAAGAGGAAAACAAAGGGGGGACCCCGGCGGCTCTCCCGATGGCCCTCAGAACTTACTGCGACAGCCGCGCAGGCCGCTGACGATCCATTCCAGCCCGCTGCGCTTGCCGCCGACGCAAAAAGTCCCGCCAAGCCTCGCGCTACTCCCCGGCGGCCAATCCGGGACGAGAATGCAGGCACTCCGCGCCCCGCCCCGCCCCTCGCCCCGCCCCTCGCCCCGCCCCTCGACTCCGGCCCCGGCCCTATCCCCAGCCCGGCCCCGCCCACCCTAGCCCCGCCTCCAGGCCCCCGGCCCCGGCCCCAGGCCTTGGAAGTCTGCGGGCCGGGGCTCCTCCCCATCCTAAAGCGCTAGAGAAAACGCAGCCTGGAATATGCGAGAACAGAGCTGGAGTCCACGCCTTACAACCAGTTGCTGACGGTCCCCGCCCCTCCGAGACGCTAAATCCTTACCTGGTTTTCCTGCCTATCCGTCCGTCGCGCAAGATTTCCGCCAGGGCCCGCCCCCAGGTTGGGGAAGGGAGGAGCCAGTGCCGGAAAGCTACCTAAGAGCGAGCGCGCCGCCGAGGGGCGGATCCGAACCCGGGGTCCGCGCGCAGGGTGCTTAGGCGCCTGCGCAGTTATCTGGTGTGGTGCACTGAAAATAGACAGGGTTAGACTTTCAGTCGCTGGTACTGAATCAGATGTGTGAGCTTGGCTTATCATTTTATTTCTACCCCAGTGTTTTTTCATTCGTAAAAGGGGAGGGACCCCTTCTAATATGCTCGGATTCTCTGCTTTCTCTTTAAAAACGTACAATCCTGCAAAAGAATGATGTTGGACTCTTTATCATACCATAAATAAAAATGAACTTAAAATGGATCAAAGACCTAACTGTAAGAGCTGAAACTCGTAGAAGAAAACACAGGGTAAAGGCTTCATGATATTGGATCTGGCCATAATTTATTGGATGTGACGCCAAAAGCACAGTTTGGGATGATGAAAAAGTTCTGGAAATGGATAATAGTGGACGGCTGCATAACAGTGTGAATCACTTAAGTAGTGCCACTATACTGTACGGTTAAAAATGGTTAAAATGCTAAGCTTTATGTCACGTACATTTAACCACAATAAAAAATTATGTTTCATGCACACACAAGAATATAGCACATATAATATAAAAATAAAAATGACCACCTGGGAGTTCCTTGGTGTCTTACTGGTTAGAACTCAGCACTTTCAATGCAGAGGTCCAGGTTCCATCCCTGGTTGAAGAACCATCCAGCATGCCTCACAGTACAGCCAAAATACTAAAATAAATAAATAAATACAAATTAAGAATGAAATAAAATGGTTGAAACTTTTAAAAGCTTTAACAACAAAAAAGAGCACCCATGTGCTCATCAGTGGATTAGGAAATTAATAACAGTCATTCCTTCCAAGGATAACCACTCTTCTGATTTTGTGTTTCTCATTTCCATGTTTTTTCTACCTTGATATATATCCCTAAATGATGTATTGATTATTGTATGTCTTAAACTTTATATAAATGATATTTAGTAAGTATTTTGGAAGTGCTCTTTCTTACTCAAAGCTGTGATTTTGGGGTTTATCCACATTGATGCAGGCAGCTGTCATTCATTCATTTTCATTGTCTTTAGAATGTATTAAGTAAATATACCACGTTTTACTAATCCATTCTCTCGGATATGGAAACATCAGTTGTTTTCAGTCATTTTGCTGTTGCCAACAATGCCACACTAAACATGCCTGCAAGACACTTATTCCAAACCCGAGTGTCTTGCAGTCACATACCTAAGAGACAAGGATAGATTCAGTAGTAGTATTATTGCCTCATGGGATAAAGACATTTTCAGCTTTACATAAGAATGCCAGTTTTCACACACTGTTTTGTTGACTATATAATTTACACCCCCATCAGCAATATATAAAAGTGCCCTTGACCCCACATACTTGTCAATATTTAGAATTTTCAGGATTTAAACATTTTTCCTTGACTAGCAAGTTGAAATGGTATCCTATTGTGTTCTTGATTTGCATTTCCCTTGAGTTGGTCTCTTTTCTTTGTTTACAGGTCCTTCCTGATTCCTCTTCAGTGAAACACCTGTTCACCCCACTTAGGAATCGTTTGGGCAATTGCCACAGAAGAATAAATCATCTTTGTGGTTTTGAAGGTAGTTCCCCGCTGATGCATAGAAATAGGGTTCCTGGAATCACTGGAAGCTGTTAACCCATAAGAGTGTGGAAAGCTAGCTCAATTTCCCAGGAAAGAGGTTACAGTCAAAGCTTTTGCACTTATGGAGCTGAAAAAAAGCAACCACCCAAGTGTTAAGACAAGAAGAGGTTCAGTGCTCTGGGTGGAGATAAAAATCCAACCCAAGTAGGTTTAAATGCTAAAAGAATTTATGAGCTCGTGTCACTGAAAAGTCCAGTGGCAAGATGGCTGTGAAGTGGCTCACTTTGACCTACAGGGTGGAGAAGGCCCCAGGGCTCTGAATCTATTTCCTTGCCCTTCTGGAGCCTGAGCTTTTCCCCCAGCCTGGGTGCTGTCACCATCATCATCACCCGGATTTAGTGAGCATTTACTATGATCCAGGCATCGTTCTAAGTGTTCAGCATCTGTGAACACATTTCATCTTCCCAATAACCCGCTGTGATAGGCACCAGAACCTCACCCTGAACCTTAGTGAGGAGACTAAGGAGCAGCCCCCATGGAGGAAGTGGCTGTGGTTGTGCTAGATCTGAGGACTCTGTCTGGGAGCCTGCACCCAGCAGCTCGTCCATGTTTCACATCGGAATTCCATCCTTCAGAGAAAGCCAGCTATGTCCCAGCAATCTCAGAAAAAGATGTACTCTAATTTTACCAGCTTGCATCACGTACGCACCTGTGTTAGTCAGAGTTCCAGAGAGAAAGAACCAATAGGATGTGCACTGGGGTTATGAAGAAGTAACAACAGGGTGGGGTGGGGCGGGGTGTTGGACAGGACTGGAAACAGAAGCCAGCAGGTCTAGGGCCCCAGGGAGGGACCTGGAGCCACGTGAGGAAGCTCAGAGGTGCTGCAGAGTACCTACGGGCCTGATCATTGAGCTATGTAATATACTTTGATGTTTGGAGAATTAAAGAAAAATAAAAACTGTTGCTTTTCTGATATAAATACAGAAAATAAAGAACTACAAAACAGTCTGGATCCTTGGGATAAACAGAATGGTTAGGTATGGACGCTTCTCTGCAGAAATATATCTTCCTTGTGGAGTAGGTTGATCTATATATTAGTTGTATCAGTTCAGTTCAGTTGCTCAGTTGTGTCCAACTCTTTGCAACCCCATGGACTGCACAGCAGGCCTCCCTGTCCATCACCAACTCCTGGAGTTTACTTAAACTCATGTCCATCAAGTTGGTGATGCCATCCAATCATCTCATCCTTCGTCATACCCTTTTCCTCCCACCTTCAATCTTTCCCAGCAGCAGGGTCTTTTCAAATGAGTCAGCTCTTCACATCAGGTGGCCAAAGTATTGGAGTTTAAGCTTCAGCATCAGTCCTTCCAATGAATATTCAGGACTGATTTCCTTTAGGATGGACTGGTTTGATCTCCTTGCAGTCCAAGGGACCCTCAAGAGTCTTCTCCAACACCACAGTTCAAAAGCATCAGTTCTTTGGCTCTCAGCTTTCTGTATAGTCCAACTCTCACATCCATACATGGCTACTGGAAAAACCATAGCTTTGACTAGATGGACCTTTGTCGGCAAAGTAATGCCTCTGCTTTTTAATATGTGTCTAGGTTGGTCATAGCTTTTCTTTCATGGGGCAAGTGTCTTTTAATTTCATGGCTGCACCCACCATCTGCAGTGATTTGGGAGCCCCCCCAAATAAAGTCTGTCACCATTTCCACTATTTCCCCATCTGTTTGCCATGAAGTGATGGGACTGGATGCCACGATCTTAGTTTTCTGAATGCTGAGTTTTATATCCTGGAATTACTAGCTTGCTGTCTAAGTAAAGTATAAATGAGAATATTATTATTTATCTTATAGATTATCATAAAGATGAGAGATAAAGAATTTGGAGGTCCCTAGACAGATAGAGCCTGGCAGGCTACAGTCCACGGGGTCGCAAAAGAATCGGACACGACTTACTGACAAGGCAGAAGGGCTTGCCACTTCTCACCGAGCCTCCGCTCCTCTTTGCTGGTAGCGCCTTCCGACGCATGTGCTGTTCCGAGATATGTCCACTAGAGGGCAGCAGAGGAACGGGACTGGAGACTAAACACCCGGAGAGCAGAGCTACTTCCTTATGTTCGCCGTCAACAACGTTTACAGTTGATTAAAAGTCAGTTCAAGATTGATAAGGCTAGACATCTTAACCGCCACTGCTCAACTCATTTTCCCTTTCACGTGCATGATGCTTTTTCCATAATTTATCAAATCCATTCCAGTACGCTTCCCTTAAGGCAAAGAGTATGATTTTCTGTCGTGGAAAAGAAAATCAGTTACTTCTTAAACTTTCCAACTTTCTTTTTTTTTTTTCCCCCCTTTTATTTTTATTAGTTGGAGGCTAATTACTTTACAATATTGTAGTGGTTTTTGCCATACACTGACATGAATCAGCCATGGATTTACATGTGTTCCCCATCCTGATCCCCCCTCCCGCCTCCCTCCCCACCCCATCCCTCTGGGTCTTCCCAGTGCACCAGCCCCGAACACTTGTCTCATGCATCCAACCTGGGCTGGATATCTGTTTCATAATATACATGTTTCAATGCTATTCTCTCAGATCATCCCACCCTTGCCTTCTCCCACAGAGTGCAAATGTCTGTTCTATACATCTGTGTCTTTTTCTGTCTTGCATGATAGGGTTATCGTTACCATCTTTTTAAATTCCACATATATGCATTAGTATACTGTTTTGGTGTTTATCTTTCTGGCTTACTTCACTCAGTATAATGGGCTCCAGTTTCATCCATCTTATTAGAACTGATTCAAATGTATTCTTTTTAATGGCTGAGTAATATTCCATTGTGTATATGTACCATAGCTTCCTTATCCATTCATCTGCTGATGGGCATCTAGGTTGCTTCCATGTCCTGGCTATTAT